ACCCAGTATTTTATTATTCTTGGTGCAATTGTAAATGGGATTGTTTTCTTCATGTCTCTTTCTGCTGTTTCATTATTAGTCTACAGAAACACAACAGATTTCTGTACATTGATTTTGTATCCTGAAACCATACTGAGTTCCTTTATCATTTCTAGTAGATTTTTGGGAGAGTTTTTAGAGTTTTCTGTATATAGTATCATGCCATCTGCAAATATAGTTCATTCATTTTGATTGCTCTATGTCAGTAATTCTCAATTTGAGCATGCATAAGAATAACCTGGAAAACTTGTCAAAATACATTGTTGGGCCCACCATAGAGTTTCTGATTTATTTGGTCTAGAAGAGGACCTGATAATGTGTATTTCTTGGGATGCCTGGGTGGCTCAGTGGTTGAACATCTGCCTTTGGCTCAGGGCATGATCCCGGGATCTTTTTTTTTTTTTTTTAAATGATCCCGGGATCTTGAGATCGAGTCCCACATCAGGCTTCCTGCATGGAGCCTGCTTCTCCCTTTGCCTGTGTCTCTGCCTTTCCCTTTCTGTGTCCTTCATACATAAATAAAATCTTTAAAATATGTATTTCTTTTTAAAAAGATTTTATTTATTTATTCATGAGAGACACAGAGAGAGAGGCAGAGACACAGGCAGAGGGAGAAGCAGGCTCCATGCAGGGAGCCTGATGTGGGACTCGATCCCGGGACTCTAGGATCATATCCTGGGCCAAAGGGAGGCGCTCAACCACTGAGCCACCCAGGTGTCCCTCTTTTCTTTTTTTTTTTAAAGTTTTATTTATTTAAGTAATCTCTGCACTCAATGTGGGGCTCCAATTCATGACCCAGAGATCAAGAGTCACATGCTCTTCTGACTGAGGCAGTCAGGAGCCCCTGATAATTCATATTTCTTTTTTTTTCATTAAATTTTTCTTAAGTAGGCTCCACACTCAGTGTGGAGCCCAATGCGGAGCTTGAACTCATGACCCTGAGATTAAGACCTGAGCAGAGATCAAAAATCAGATGCCTAACTGACTGAGCCACCCAGGCACCTTGATAATTTTTTTTTTATAATTTGTATTTCTAACAGCTTCCCATGTAATGATGATATTCCTGGTCCTGGGATCACACGTTGAGACCCACTGCACTCTCTATTTATCCATGCTGCTGGGGATGGATCTTCAGGTTACCTACAATTTATAGCTATCATGAACAATGAATAATGCTCAAGGACAATGGTCATAATCTGTTAGTCCCATCTGTTCCTGAGAACAAAGATCTTGGGTATTTTTGAGAAATTTTTGCTGGGATCTCCCAAAACCTTTTGGTACCTGGAGATCTCTCTATACATATCCATCACACAGAGACACAAACTGTACTATCCAGGGTTGTACTGGGTTGAATTGTGTTCCTTACAAAGATACACTGAAGTCCTGATCCACAGTGCCTTATCTGGAAATTGGATTTTTGCAGAAGTAATCAATTGAGGTCAAGCTGGAGTAGGGTGGATTAATCACGTTCATCCAATATGATTAGTGTCCTTGTAAGAAGAGAGGAAGAGACACATAGGCAAGATGGTCCTGTGAGCATGGCAGTGTTGGAGAAACTGGAGGGAGGCATCTACAAGTCAAGGAATGTCAAGAATTGCTGGACCTACCACAAGCTAAAGAGCAAGGAAGGATCCTTCCTGTGAACTTCCAGGGCCCAGCCTGGCCCTGCTGACACCTGGATTTTAGACTTCTGGCTTCCAGAACTATGAGAGAAGTCACTTCTGTTGTTTTAAGCGCACTGGCTTGTGGTACTTTGAAACGTTAGCCCTGGGAAACAAATACGAGGGTGGTCTGAAACTTGCTTTTCCCTCAAAGATGTGTCAAGTACATTTTCCTAAGCCAATCAGTGGGTTCCTTTGCACAGGGCCCATCAGGGCCTGATGCTCGCCATACCATCTCACCTTGTCACTGGCCTTGTTACCAGCCTCCTGGGTCCCTCTGGTATCTGCCCTTCCTTGGTGGTACCTGGAGAGATTTGTTTACTCAAGACTCTAAAAGCAATACAAGTGGAAGATGGACAGTGATGCGGGGCTACTAAATACACTTCATGTTTTAGCAGTTCCTATAAGTCAATGATGCGTTTACTTACAGCTACATACTTACACAGTTGCAATTCCGAAACTCAAAAAGATCTGAAAAGGAAACATCTCTTACTTCCTTTGATGGCAAACCTCGGCTGAGATGATGTGAGGACATTTGTAGCACTTACATTATTCCATTTACTGTGAAAATCATGTTTTCACTGCATAAATATCAGTGTTTGTGTCAGTTGGCCAGGGTCCCAAGAATAAAGTCACATGGACTGAAGATTTAAACAACAAAAGTTTGTTTCTCAGGGTTCTGGAGGCTGGACGTCCTCAGCATATGGGCAGGGTTGGTGTCTTTCTGAAGCTTCTCTCCTGGCAGTGTGGACGACTGTCTTCTCCCTGTGTCCTCACATGATCATTCTTCTGTTTGCATCCTAATCTTTTTTTTTTTTAAGATTTCTTTCTTTCTTTCTTTTTTTAAAAGATTTATTTATTTTTTCATGAGACACACACACACACACACACACACACACACACGGGAGACAGAGACATAGGCAGAGGGAGAAGCAGGCTCCCTGCAGGGACCCTGATGTGGTACTCAATCCCAGGACCCTGGGATCACGACCTGAACCAAAGGCAGACACTCAACCACTGAGCCACCCAGACGCCCATTAAGATTTATTTCTTATTTGAGAGTGAGAAAGAGAGAGAGAGAGAGAGAGAGAGAGAGAGAGAGAGAGAGAACAAGTAGGGGGAGGGGCAGAGGGAGAGGGAGAAGCAGGCTCCCTGCTTAGGGAGCAGGGAGCCTGACTCGGGGCTCCATCCTGGAACTCTGGGATCATGCATGACCTGAGCCAAAGGCAGATGCTTCACCAACTGAGTCACCCAGGCACCCCCTAATTTCCCTTTAAAATAAGGATTGAGGGGTGCCCGGGTGCCTCAGTGGGTTATGTGTCTGTCTTTAGCTCAGATTATGATCCCAGGGTCCTGGGATCCAGCCCGTGTCAGGTTCCCTGCTTACTGGAGAGTTTGTTTCTTTCACTCCCTCTGCTTTTGTACTCTGTTCATGCTCTCTATTGCTCTCTCTGTCTCTGTCTCTGTGTCTCTCTCAAGTGAGTAAATAAAATCTTTAAAAATAAAATAGCATAAAATAGGGATTGGATTAGAGCCCATCCATATGACCTCATTTTTACCTTAATGACCTTTTAAAATACTCTATCTCCAAATACAGCCATATTCTGAGGTCCTGGGGGGTGGTTAGGACTTGAACACACAAATTTTGGGAGACACAATTCAGCCCATGGCAGTATTTAATCACAGGTACTGCCCCAGATCCAATGCAGGGTATTCCTTGACACAGGACATGTGCACTTTATCTCTAAGATCTAAAGAAGTCTGAGGTCTAGGGCACCTGTCTGGCCCTAGGCTCACTCTGTAGAAGGACCTCTATTACACGCAGATCCTGAGAGCATCTAAGGTATAAAGTGGGTCATCTCTGACTGCTCCTTCTAGGGTCCAGATGAGGTAACCTGTGAGAAGTGACCTAGACAGGGATGTTCTGTGAGCCACTGACACTCCTGAAATTTCCCATGCCTGGAGTCCTCCTCCACCCACAGCCCGGGCAGGACTTTGTGGCTTTCTATTTGGAATGAGTCCAGAATCCTCTGGCCATACCTACTTCTCTCCCGTGCTTCTGGCTAGGGCACTGAGGGTCAGAGAGGCCCCTTGGATTTAGGCCCACAAGTGGTCATTGCTATCACCTCTTCCACCTTTCATGGGGCTGGAATTGGTGTCAGCAGCCGCAAAGATGCCTCACCTTCCAGAGGACAGCATCCAGGAGTCTCTTTTCAGCTTCCCTTCAGGTTCTTCAAGATCTGCAGCTCCTTAGAAGGCTATAGTGGATACACCATCCTGTGTGTGGCTGTGGCCTCCACTGGGTCCCAGCCTGATATATCAGTGCAGCCACCTGGACAAGGAGCCGGGGCCATGGTGCTAGTCCCCAGTGACACTGGGAGAGGGACTTGAGCAATCCAAGTCATGGTTCTCATCAGTTAAGTGGAGTCAAGAACCCAGACCACATAATGTGCTAGAGGTTTCCAGGTCATGTCAGGTACCCAGGACAGAGCCTGGCACACACAGGAATGGCAATGAGGTTACACAGGAAGGGCCCCTAAGGCTGCCTCTGATGGCAAGGGACATTCTCCTGGACTGTTGGTCCCATGAGGCTAGGAGCTCATGCAGCTGAAGGTGCTGGGAATCCCCTTCAGGCTCCAACTCCCACCCCAGGTCCCTGTCCTAAGAGAATGTCACATGAGATCAGATACCTGCATCATTTCTGACACAGTCCATGGAGGGCCACCCAGGAGCCATGAAGTGAGAACAGAAAGAAATATTCAGCAGATCCTGCTGCCTGCTCTCAGCATCCAGCCTGTTGGGGCTCAGGACTCAGGTCAGCCTGCTCTTTCTACGACTCCTGCCCTGGCCTGGGGGTAACCTTTCCATAGCCATTCTGAATGGACACCAGGCTCCCATACCACCCAGGGGCTCTGAAGGCCCCCTGACCTTGAAGTACCCTTCCCTACACCCCATCAGTAGGCACAAATTAGGCCCACAAGTAACACTGGTGGCCTGGGTGAGAAGGGATGGGGCCTGTGTGGCAGGTGCCTTTGCTGTCACGCTGGGTATTTCACTGCCTTATGGGAGCTTCCTGAAGACTCCTGCACATGCATGGGGAGTGTGGATGTATGTACAGATATCACCCAGGTTGGAGGATCGCAGAGGCCGGCTCTACGCCTGAGGAGACTATGGGTCTGTATAATGCAATTTTTATTTAAAGCACAACAAACCCCCCAACCTGACCATTTTCTATATTAACCTATCAGGTGGGCAGCTGTTCATCCCCCATCCCTCCATGCTGCTTTTCTATGTCTTAGGTCATCTTCCTTTTCTTGGGGTCCCTGGGGCCTCAGAGTCTTCCCTGGGCTTACTGCTATGAAAGTGAACGAAGAATGTCCAGATTTCCTTCGGGTAGATGGTGCCTTGCAGGGGTGTTGAGTGAGAGCTGGAGCTGCCTGGGGGAGCAGAAGTGGTCTGTCCTTAGAGGTACCTGCTTCCCCAGGATGTTTCCACCCAGCAGCCCCCTCATATACCACACCTGCCTCCACTCTGTTGTGGCTCCTTCATGAAGGCCCTTGGGTGCCCTCCTCCTGCTGGGACTCCCACTGCCATGGGCTCCCTTGCATTCTTGCCTTCCCATGAGGGTAATAGGTAGGTGGTCCTGGCCATACATGGCCTCATTCCCCATAGGGTGTAACATTCAATGCCTAAAGCTTTCTCCCTCAGGTCATCTGGTGGGGCCTGCTCTTTGTATTACTGGGTTCCACTAAATTCAACCATGGGAGGGAAACTTCTTCATCCATTCATCCACTCACCTGTTCATCATTCATCCATCCAAGATCCATCAGTCTGTCCATGTCCATCCTTTTCACTCATTCAAACACTGACACTTTCATAGACCTATCCATCCAACAACCGTCCATCCATCCATCCATCCATCCATTATCTATTCATCCATCTATCATCCTCATCCATCTACACATCTACCCGTCCATCCATCCATCCATTAATCCACCCATTCATCATCTTATCCATCATCCATCAACCATCTAGCAATCCATCTACCCATCCATCTATGTATCTTCCATCCATCCATCATCCATCCATCCATCCATCCATCCATCCATCCATCCATCCACATGACTAAATGTCCAGCTATGTAGTTGGCACAATGATGTGTGCAGTGCACAGAGAAGATCCACAACAAACAGGAAAGAGGGGGAGAGGACAGCAGAGGAGGAAACTGATCCAGCCCTGGACTCCATAGAAGCTTGAGTAGGAGCAGGCCAGAGGGAAAGGCACAAGGGCCATGCAGGCAGAGGGAACAGCATGGGAAAGACCGGGAGGCACAAAATGCCTGTAGTCCCCCAGGAGCTGATGGTGTGTGTGCAGTGTGAGGCACAGCATGGCAGATGTCAGAACCCCCTGGGATATGCTTGCCGGGTCACGACTCAGCCAGGACAGAGGCAGGGGGTGTGGTCTACGGACACACATGCAGGCATGCACACACACACTGACCTGTGTAGATTCAGGAGGGGACAGATTCAGAGAAGCTAAGGAGCCTGCTCAAGGTCCCATAGGCCATAAGGGGCAGGGCTGGATCTAACAGGTCGGCCCAACCTCTGAGCCAGGCTGGGGGCTGCTGGGATTCCCAGGCAAGGCCTGAACCAGGGGCTTCCAAACCTCTGTGGTGGGGAGGCTCCTGTGTCCTCCAGCTCCAGCGGTGTAGTGTGTTCACATCCCAGGTCCCTGTCAGTGAGCGCTCCTCCACCGCCCCCACGGACCCCAACCCCTGCAGCACAGCCTGCAGAGACAGGAGCACAGGGAGGGTGAGCTACCTCTAGCCCCAGATCAGAGCAGGTAAAGCAGGAGTGGGGGGTCAGCCTCACCCTGGGCACAACACACTTCCTCCTTAATTCTTACTGCAGATCTCCAGACAGGAACTGTGTCCCCATTTTAGAGATGAGGACACACACCAGGACCAGCATGCTTCCCCAGGCACTGCAATGGAGGAGCACACTCGGGGGTGGTGGACACAGGAGCTGCCTCCAGCATCCAGACCCCTTCTCCCTGGTATGGCTCAGCAGGCAGCCCCAGGGATGAGGCCAGGCATCCTTATCCCTCCCCTGTGCCAAGTAAGCACAGACCCAACCTCCTGTGCAGGGAAGGAGGCAGGTGGCCCATTCTGGCCTGAAAGAAGGGAGCCTCTGTTGTCCAGGAGGTGGGAAGGTTCTGGAGAAGCTTCCAGGAGAAGAAAGCACAGGGGGGAAGGCCCTTTTTGCCTCTACCTTTCCAGCTTCTGCTGATATATCAGCTTGGGAGGCCCATGCGGTGAGTGACCACAGGGACAAGCAGAAGCAAAGAGCCAGCACGCTGACCAAGGCCGGCAGCAGGACAATGTGACTCAGCAAGGGAGCAGAGGAAGGGGAAACAGCAAGAATGCAGGAAGAGGGGGGTGAGGTGCCCCTGCGCCCCCAACAGCACCTACTCCTTGTTGAGCCAGAGCTCCCACAGGCATCTCTTTGCCCACATCTTTGCCAGAGGGGATTTTCACCTTGGGCTTGTCTCCCTGCTGGGCCTTCAGGCCACAACCAAGAGGCCTGTCCCAGGTCTGAGGGCACTTACCTGCAGATTAACCCTCACTGCTGAGACAGGACCGGGTCCTCGCCTTCCTCATACAGGTGGTGGAGCCGCAGCAGGACACGGCAAAGGTCAGCCTTGGCCTTCCCTCGATGGCCTTCAGGGACAGAAAGACCCACATTAGCCCCAAATCCTCTAGTCAGGGCCCAGCACTTCCTACCCTCCACCTCCCTGGGAGGCAGCTGACCCAGTCCCTCCTTGATGACAAGGAAACCAGGCTCATAGAGGTCTGGTCACTTGCCCAAAGACACACCTGGTGGGCACCAGACGGAAGATTACAGCCCAGATCTGGCAGCCTCCAAGGCCTCCCCCCACACCAGGGACTAATGCTGAGGGGTGCCTGCAAGTCTCTGCCCTCGTCTGCTGCTGTGCTCCTCACTAGGCTCATCCTTAAGCCTCCCAGTGCTTGCTGGACTGCTCTTCCCTGCCCCCTGTGTGCTGTGGTGTGGCCCCAACCCTCCCAGGTCAAGGCACAGGGAGCAAGAGGGATGTAGCCCTTGCACAAACTTCTTTATCCCCGGGAAGGAGGAAGCAGGTGCTGCATATGGCCTCCATCAGCTGGGGACCCTGGTGGCCACAGTGACAAGGGCCATGAGCTGAGCCCACTGGACCTGTGGCACAGGGGAGAAAGGAACGAGGCTGTGTTGGGTCGGGGGAATGTGGGCTCCTGGGTCCTGTAGAACAAAGGGTTTGTAAAATCTCTTGGATGTGTTCCAGGGTGGTGGTTGTGGATTCAAGCCCCAGGGTCAGGCATGTTGTCTGTGTCCTGTTGGGGGTGGGGGGTGGGGGCGGGGGTAGGGTTGAGACACGTTGATGTCCATGACCACATACCTACTTCATAAGGTGGCCCTGAGCTTGGGGACAGCAGTGAGGGTGTCTCACTGCATCCCTGAGGCTCCTCTCCCTCTGTCTCTTACTCACTGTTGCCCAGGGAGGTGGGACCTTCATTTAGTGAGTCTGGGGACACCCCCAGGCCAGACCCTTCTCCTCCTATTGGGAGCCAGCTCCCTAGAGGAGACCAGTTGTCTTGTGTGTGGCCACACACAGAAGGGGGAAGGAATGCTCCTCCTTATAGGAGAGGCTGCTGGTCCAGGGTCCTCTATGACAAGGGGGGGTCCTGATGATGGGGTTCAGTGTTAGAAAGCTGCTTGGCTACAGACATGTGCCAGGGTCCCAGAGATCCACTAGATCAGATGAAGGTGTTATCTGGCCTGTTGCCTCTTCCTTCCTTCCCTCCTTCTTAATTTGAGGATTCCTACTGAGCCATCTTTGGTGCCTTCCAGGCCCTGGTGGGGCTCTGGGGACAAGAGGGTGCCTGCGGGGCAGCCAGCCCTGCCTGTGAGCTGCTCACAGTGCCAAGGGGAAGATAAGGTGCAGCTGGAGCTTTGTCAACAGGATGGGTCAGTTCATGGCAGGTGTCATCTCCATCAGGCCCGGCTGGGGGCTTATTGTGAACATTAATGTCACTGGCTGGTGACTTGGTGGCTTCCCTATCTAGTCTGAGAACTCTGAGTCCAGGGTCCTTGCCTACCATTGTCTCTGCTGATTACCCACTGCCTGGCACAGGAGACTTTTGTTCAGTGAATGAATGGAAGCCCCGGATAGTCAGGCTTCCTGGGTTCAGAGGACGAGTGGGACTCAGTTGTTCCGGGCTCCAGGAGGAGTCCCTGAGGAAGCTGACTCCACGGCAGGCTGAGCATCCGGCAAAGGTGGACGATGGTTGGGGTTTGGTGGTGGGGGATAGAAGGGATCCTCAGAGACTGGGTGTGGACAGGTCCTCCTCTGGGGCCCTGCCGACTGGGTGTCCTGCCTACTGAGGGACCCCGGTTCCCCCACTGCCTCTCTGTGGGCCTGGGTCTCCCCATTGGGCAGATAAGGGGAACAGGGGACCATGTAGAGCCAGGACAGCTCTGAGAGGAGCCCACTTTGTCCGGTGATGCGCGTGGGGCCAGGTTGACATGGGGAGGGAGGAGTGACTCTGGTTCCCTGGACACCCGGCTCACGTTTCTGGAGATCCTGCAGGTGCTCCGTGTGGTTGGAGCTGTAGTTCCAGCCCGGGATGCTCAGGATCTGCAGGTGAAGACCTGGGGGCAGGGTCACAGCTTCTAGCTGCCACTGGGTGCCTGAACAATCTGGGCAGACTCTGCAGGGCAGACACACAGAGCCAGGACGAGGATTGGGCCCTGTGCCTCCTCCTGGCACCGGGAGCTATGCACGCTCTGGCCCCCATTCCAGGCGATCCGGCTCCTGCCAACGCGTGCCCCTGAGGGAGGACAGCCTGAAGCCCCTGCTGGTCCAAGCGCCTCGGGCACCCCCGTCTAGCCTTTGCCCACGGACAACCTTCCACATGAATGCCTTCCCTCCCACACGTCCAGGGGCCCACACCACAGAGTCTAAGAGTGGAAGGATCCTGAATCTCTAGTCCAGCTGTTTCCAAGTACAGATGGGGAGACGACCGCCCAGAGAGGTGATGTGGTTTGTTCTAGATCATAGGGCAGGTTCACACAGAGCCTCGGTTTCAATTCAAGGTCTGGGATGCCAGCTCCTCCCGGGTTTTGTCATCCCTGGTACCCTGCTCAGAAGCACCCAAGTCCCTCCTTCCAGGAGATGCCCTTTCAGCCCTGGGCTCAGCTGGGACCGGGTCCCGCCCCGCCCCCGGCCACAGTGATTGGTCTGGGGTCAGGCACGTGGTCCTCTCAGCACCAATCAGAAGCTTTCCCTGGGACTCCTGCACCTGAGCCTGGAAAGGTGAGGCTGGGTCCCTTTGGGTGAGGGGACATGCAAGGCACAGCGGTTCACAGCCTCATCCCTGTAGGAGGAGTAGAAAGTCTGCAGGCAGGGAGCAGCACAGCTGAGAGTGTGTGGGGGGAGGGTGGCCTCATGAAGGTTCCAGCCTCTGAGCACCATGGCACCCCTGCCCTTCCCCACAGCCTGTGCCCACACCTCGCAACAGAGTCTCCTGGTGGCTCAGCCAGTGAAGGCTCAGTTTCTCCCCCTTCAATCAAGAGAGACCGGAGAGGGGGGCAGTGCGAGATGCCGACTTGTCTCGGGGCCCACTCACGATGACATCCCCATCTGAGGAAGGGGCTCCCAGCCTCCCTGAAGGGACCACGGACAGAGCCTGGAGCAGCCCGACTTGCTGGTGCCTCAGATCCCCTCTGTGGGAATCAGGAGCCCGAGACCCAGAGGTGGCCAGGCAGGCAGCTAAAGGCAGTCCTGGAGGGATGACGGTGAACACCTGCTCCCACCAGACCCCCAGCTGCCCCCACCCCATATCCCAGGCCTCCTGTGCTGCTGCTCTGATTCCAGGATTTGCCCAGCTCCGCCCAACCAGCAGCCCCTTCAGTTTCTGTCACTTACAAACAAGAGAACCTCAACTGTTGCCCTCGAAGTGGATCCCAATCTTCTCCAGCCTTTTGGTCCCCAAAGCACCAAGCCCCCACTCTGCTCAGTCCCACTGCCTCTGCTCCCTGAAGCCTGGATCTGTATGAGCATGGCCCCCCAGCCCATACCTCAGGAGAAATCCTGCAGGAGAGGCCTGGCCCTTGCCCATCCTCAGTGTGCAGCACACAGCAGGCACTCAGCCCGTGTTTTGTGCACGTGTGAGCAGCAGCCTGCCTGCTTCTACAGCCCTGAGAGGGTCCTGCTCTAAAACGGAAACAAGGATAAATCATAACCACGTTCTCTTCCAAACCTCTCAAGTGAGTGGAAAGGAACAGTTCAAGGATCAAGGGAAGGATACGAACTGTATCTAAATGATTCATTCTTTAAAAGCTGCTGCAGAGTACCATATTTACACCTGATCATTACTTATTGCTTCTCATCTTAATTATTTCTGTAAAGACATAGGCTGTTTTAAATCTGAAGAAGTCTGACCGAGGGACGCCTGGGTGGCTCAGTAGTTGAACATCGGCCTTTGGATCAGGGCGTGAATCCCAGTGTCCTGGGTATAAGTCCCACGTTAGGGTCCCCGCAGGGAGCCTGCTTCTCCCTCTGCCTATGTCTCTGCCTCTCTCTGTGGGTCTATCATGAATAAATAAATAAAGTCTTAAAAAAAAACACCAACGAATTTTGAGTGGAGGCAATGCATGAATTTTGCACATCACACCATGAACTTGAACTAACCTTGCCTGGTGACAGCACACCCAGAAATCAAATAAAACAAGTCTTTTATTTTTTATTTATTTTTTATTTTTTAATAAATTAATTTTTATTGGTGTTCAATTTACCAACATACAGAATAACACCCAGTGCTCATCCCGTCAAGTGTCCCCCTCAGTGCCCGTCACCTATTCACCCCCACCCCCCGCCCTCCTCCCCCTCCACCACCCCTAGTTCAAAACAAGTCTTTTAATGTTGATCTACTAGGGGTGAAGCTATCTAGCCATACATGTCATATTATGGAAGATAAAGAGTCATCAGAGCAGAAAGTGAGGGATACTCAGGGAGAGGATACAAAGAGGAATCTGTGTGATTCTCAGAAGTGCTCGCTACTCCATGTATAAGCTTGGGTGAAGCCTGAAAGTATTTGCCCACACTTTGCCCACACATTAAACGAGGGCTTGGATCAGAGACCCCTGAGCTCCCTTCTGATCAAAGTTTCCAGATCATGGTGGCCCACACGATCCCCAGGTCCATCCCAGCCAGGGGGGCTCATTCTGGGGTGAACACTCCCTTACCATTCAGCTCTCTTAATAGCACTACAGGTGGGTGCTGCAGCGCTAGCCCACACCTCTGACGCAGGCTGGTGGTGAGAGACTGGGGTCCCAGCAGGAGCCAGAGCACAGGGTAGACAGTGGAGGTGTCATTCAGGGTGAGATCATAATCCAGAGCCCAATCAAAATTGTTCCAAAGCCGGCGATGGAGCATGACCTGCAGGGAAGAGCTGTCTGACCGGCCCTGCCGCCCACCTGCTCCCACCCCTGAGTGACCAGCAGGGCCCACTTCCTACCTCCACCTGCCCGTTCTCTTGGCTGGACACGCCTGTGCCTGTTTGGACAGCAGCACCAGCCTGCTTCTGCCGTCCTCAATGAAGGCGGACTGAGCCATGGGGTAGTAATTCTGTGGACACAAACACTGCCAGGCTGGCGGTCGGGGCAGAGGACAGGAAGGCCTCTCGGTCCGGGTCCCCCTCCGGCCACCCCACACCCTCCACCCCACGCACAGAGCACCAGCTCAGGGGGGAGAAGGGAGACAGAGGTTAGAGGCTCTGACGTTGGACACCAACAGACTGTCACTCCAATCCAGCTCCACTGCTTCTGACCATATGAGCTGGGGACTAAGCCCACTCAAGCTCGGTTTCCCCACCAGTACAAAGGGCCCAAAGACACACTGTGCACAGTCCTGCAGGAGTGAGGATGGGGTGTGTGGGGTCCAGCCTGGTAGGGGAGCTAGGTGGAGAGTTACTCCAGAGAGAAAGGGCCATGTGTGTTCTGGGAGAGCAGCCCCTGTCCCCAGGCTCTGTGCTCTGCTGGAGCCAGATGTCCCGGGTGGACCCATGGGAACTGTCAGCAGCCCCTGCACAGCAGGTGAGGGCTAGCAGGTAGGGACGAAAGGACCTGAGCTCATAAGCAGAGCAGGGTGGGGACACATGCCTCTGGGTCCCCTCAGGAGGAAAAAGAACTGATTACTGAGGGCACAGGGGCCCCCGGAGGGGGCTTCACCTGGATTGTCCCCCCTGACCCTCACAGCCCTGGGTGTGTTCCCTTTCTTGGGTCAGGGAGCCATAGGTCAGGGAGCCATAGGGCCCAGCTTGCCCAGGATCACAGGGCCGGAGGCCTAGGAGTGGGAGCCCATCTGGCTTCGGGCCACGCTCAGCGCTTGGAAGAAGCTGCCAGGGAAGTCTCTGCAGCAGCACCTGGCATGGGTCAGGCACGCTCAACCTGAATCTCAGGACACCCCACACGAGGCGCTTCCACAAGTGGAAACCGAGGCACAGACAGGGACAGGGACAGTCCAGTGCATGTGGTGGCCCCGGATTTCAGACACTGCAGGTGGCCCAGCCTGGGCCTCACTCCTAACGGCACAGGTGGGCAAGGGGGCTCTGCTGGAGCTTTGTTCAGAGGCCTCCGCCGCTCCATGGTGAAGCTGCAATGGGTCTCCTCCTCCTGTGTCTGGAAAAGCACCATCAGGGAACCCCACCCCTACCCCCACGCTCCAGGACCACAGAGCAAACATGCATCCTAGAGCATACCCGGGCGATGGCATTGCTCCAGTATTTCTGGAAGACTCTCCGCTGCATCTGGTAGCTGTTGTGGTCTGAGTGGAGGACCTGCTGCTTGTGGAGACTGGTGCTGGTCCTCAGGATGGCCTCACGGTTCAGCTCCAAGGGGCCCATCCGGTACTCCTGCTCGATGCGCTGCGCCGGCACGGCAGCTCCGCTCCCTGGGCCAGGGGGCACGTGGGCGTGCAGGGAGTAGATGGCATATGTGTGATTCCTGTCCCCCACCTTCCTGGTGCAGAATAGGGAATGGGTGGCTCAGGCTCTGGGTTCCTTTTGAATGCCCCTCCCTCCCTCCCCTCACTCTCTCTCCCTCCTCCTTCACTCCTTCCCTCCCTTCCTCCTTTCTTCCCTCATCCAGGGCAGGGGGCAGGGGGGCAGGGAGCATTCCTCATCAACATAATAGGAAGAACCTGATCCCCCGATAATGTGGACCTTGGATAACGTGGAGCTGGGGTGCCTCACCCGGATGGCTTAGGTGTGTGCTCTCATGAAAACACAAGAGTCCCCTCATTGTTCCTGTGGGTCTGAACCTGGACACCCCCAACGAGGTCCAGCACGTGCGATGGAGCCAGGATGCCCTAGGCCAGAGCAATCACGTCTTCCTCAAGCTCCCATCCAGAAGGACCATGTGCCAAGCACGGGCCCAGGAGCAGGGATCCGGCACAAACATGGACCCTCATTTCCTCCCACACGTGCTGGCGAGCACCAAGGAGCCTGAGCCCACCTGTAGAAGTATTGCCGGATCTCAGGCATGAGCTTTCCCGCCACAATGTGCATTCCCACACTGTTCCATGGGCGCTGTGCTGACTGGGTGGGTGTAAATATGTAGTTATTAGAAATGCTGTCCTTCAAACTATGATTGTTGACATGGTATTCCATGAACTCCTGGGTCACCCGCACTGTGCGGTTACTCCCTCTACAAAGACAAGAAACGGGACACAGCATTATCTTCAGGCACACGTGTCCCAAGCATCGTCCTCTCATCTGGAAGCCCGTAACAAGCACTCTATGCACCAACCTCCACCAGAAGCAAAGTGATCTCTGCAGAGCCTCAGTGACAGTCAGGAGGCCATTCGGTCACACCGGGGCACTTGCCTCAGATAAAGCCCCTGGGACTCGCCCCTCCCCTGAGCCAAAGCTGCCTTAGATCTTTCCATGGGCCAGTGGGGATCCCAAAACGGGAGGGGGACAGAGGCCTCACAACAGGCCCCTGAGAGTCAACGAGAAGCAGTCATGCTGCCCCAGAGGAATCGTCCCACGGAATGGTGCCTGCTTATCAGGTGGCCAGCATTGGTGGTTGGGTCACTGGATAAATGGATGAACAAGAAAGATAGAGGATGCTTGGATGGATGGACAGATGGATGGGTTAGTGAGTGATGGACGGGTTGTAGGTGGTTGGATAGATGGATGAACAAAATTAGTGGATGGATGGTGGTTGGATGGATGGATAGATCGAGGATGAGGGATGGGTAGATGGGTAAGTAAGGAGATGGATGGATGAATGGTTTAGTGGTTGGTGGCTAGATACCCTGCGTCTTTTGATGGGATCATTAAGCCCATTCACGTTCAGAGTTACTATTGACAGATATTAATTTAGTGTCATCATAATGCCTCTTCAGTCCCTGTTTTTCTGGATTATATCTTTGGACTTCCTCTTTCTTTTACAGAGTCCCCCTTAACATTTCTTGCAGAGCCGGTTTGGTGATCACATATTCTTTCAGTTTCTACCTATCTTGGAAGCTCTTTATCTCTCCTTCTATTCTGAATGAGAGCCTTACTGGATGGAGTATTCTTGGCTGGATATTCTTCTCATTTAGGACCTTGAATATATCCTGCCAGCTCTTTCTGGTCTGCCAGGTCTCTGTGAAGACATCTGCTGTTAATCTCATATTTCTCCCCATATAAGTTAGGGATCTCTTGTCTCTCGCTGCCTTAAGGATTTTCTCCTTATCTTTGGAATTTGCAAGTTTCACTATTAAGTGTTGAGGTGTTGAACAGTTTTAATTGATTTTAGGGGGGGACCTCTCTATCTCCTGGATCTGAATGCCTGTTTCCCTCCCCAAATTAGGGAAGTTCTCAGCTATGATTTGTTCAAATATGCTTTTTGGTCCTCTGTCCGTCTCAGCGCCCTCTGGAACCCCAAATAAACGTAGATTTTTCCTTCTGAGGCTGTCATTTATTTCCCTTAACCTTTCCTCATGGTCTTTTAATTATTTTTCTCTTTTTCCTCAGAGGAGACTTCTGTCAGGGACCCGCCCCTGCTTCACATCCACTGTCCAGCCTCCTGGGAAGTGCTGCTGGGATGCTCCGGGCACCCTCCGTTCTCTGCGCCAGAGTGGGACTGGGATTAGCTGAGGCTCTACCAGTGAAGCCTCTTGTCCAGCCCCCTCTGAAGGACTCTAAGGTCTACCCATTTCACCCCAGTGACACATCTGCTAGTGACTCCCTCAGGTGAGCATGCCAATGTCACGTCCAGCGTGACCCTTTCTGGCTGGGTATGACAAGTCACAGGATTTCTCAGATCTCACTTTTCCTATCTGTACAGTGGGGACAAGTGGAGATGGAAGATCGGAACCACTTGCTATGGGGCAGCCACCGTGCCCAGCACCTTATGTACATTATCACATTCGGTAGCCTCGCCACCCTGGGGTGGGCGTGAATTTCTCATTGTCCAGGGAAGGAATTATGCTCAGAGAGGGCAGTCCTGAGCCTGAAGCCACCAGCAGAGGAGGACTGAATCCACACAGGACATTAATGCCTCTCCCGTCTGCCCTTTACCCTCTGCCCTTTGGCTCTAAAGCCTACTGAACCCACCAGCTGAGCGTTGTCAGGACGTGATTCTAGCCTTGGTCTAGTGTCCACACCCACCCACCACCTCAGAGAACTCCTCTGGAAAGTGACCTCTAGCGACCAGGGGCTGGGGAAGTGCACTACACAGGAGGTTTCAACCTGACATCATGCTGAGAGGTGTGACATTACCTCGGAGACTGCCCAGCGGAGCCTCTGGAGCTGCTTCAGGGCCCAGGCCGGGTCCAGGTGCTGGTGGGGGGCAGGCCACACGTAGCGTGTGAACATGGACTCCCCGGCATACAACAGAGCACTGGCTCGCCTCGCCAGCACCTTGAGCCCACTGCGGGAGGCGTAGAAGCCCGTCCAGGCCTGAAATGGATCTGGAGAGAAGAGGTGGCAGTTGGCATGAGTCTCCCTCCCTCCCTTCTCCAGTAAAGCTGGGGAAACTGGAGCCTGGGGTCTGGCTCTGCCTGGGTCACCTCTAGAGGCAGCCAGAGACTCCTGTCCAGCCAGGCCAGGAATGGCCCGCGGATCCCTGGCTGGGGCAGGTGGGAGGATCAGGCTGGGCTGGGCCAGGCCTGGGATGGGGGACCAGACAGTCCAGGGAGGACCTGGGAATTTGAAGAGCCTGTGAGCCAAGGGCTTGGGAGACCTCTGAGGAGTGCAGGGGGAGGTGGGAGCCCGGCAGGCAGCACCAGCTGGCACGTACCCTGAGTGCTGGCAGAGGCCTTTGCCTGTGACTCAGGGGAAGCCTGCAATCAGTGGGGTTCCACTGGCAGCTTAGGGAGGTGGGATGGAGGATTGCTGAGGGATCCCCTAGCTGCTGTGCTGACCTGCACCCAGAGGATGACGCCTGTTTGGGGCTCTGGTGAGAGGAGGGGGTGCGGGGTGCCTCCCCAGGCCCTGGCTGGGTCTCACAAGCTGCTTGACTCTTCCTACTGTTCTCGCCCCCTGCCTCCTCGCAGGCTGGCCTGTGTCCCCATTCCCTGACCTTCCCCACACGGCCTGAGGACACCAGGAAGGGTAGCCCCACGGGCCCGGGGAAAGGCCACAGGCCGTGGGATCAGTGGACATGCTGTCCACAGCCCCTCCAGCAGGCTAAGTGTCCTGGCCAGGCAGGGGCTCTCCACAGCCTCAGCTCTAAGGCCCCTGTGACCCATCAAAGTAGCTCCTCCCATCTTCTCTGTAACCATACTCACATTGAAGGATATCCTCTTACCTCCAGCACTGGCCAGCTCTCCGTCCACAAGGTCTAAATTGTCCTGTTCTCAGAATAATGAAGCCCCACATTCTCACCATACAGACAACAAAATCAACTTATTGGCAAACCAGGGCAGTGCCTGTCCAGATCCACCTGTATCAGGGCCCACCATGGCATCTCTTTGGAAGGGGAAGGAAATGGGAAGATAAGCAAATGGAAGCTGAGGAGCCCTTCTACAAGTGTCCCGTCCACACCCTAGGGTGTGGGTGGGACACCAAGATTGAGGCAGTGGACACTGCTACTTCCTATGGCTGTCCCCCCAAACCTTCGAGAACCCGCTTCATTGATGACAAAACTGGGCTCATAAAGGTAACATCACTTGCCTCAAACCACACAGTTTGTGAGGAAAGGGACTGTGGTCCGAACCCAGGTATGGGTCTGAGCCACTGCCTGGCTGGCCCTCCTCAGGCACTCTGGCTGCTGGTCGGTGTTGCAGACCAGACTCTCCTCCAGACATTTTTCAGGTGAACATTCAGAATGTGAGGGCCCCTCCAAGCCTTGGTTTTCCACCTGTCTGATTGGTATGGCCACACATCTCAACTCTCCTGTCCTAAACAACCTTTCCAACTAGCCCATGGCCTACTGGGGGTAGCTGGCTGGAAGTAGAGGCTACATCAGCTCCCTAAGCTGTCCTGGCCCCTTACCACTCTACCTCACTGCATCCCCACATCCCCTTGGCTTCTCCTTATGTCAGGAGCAGAGCAGGACCACAGAAACCCTTCCAGGGCTCTCCCATTTTATGCAATAAAGATGTTAGAAGGTCAATGGTTTGGTCAACACTGTTCCCCAGTGATGTGCCAGGACAGGGGTGGGGTGAGGATGCTGTTCTCTGCTCCCCCAGCTCTGTGTCATGCTGTTCTTGATCTATTTCTAGATCTAGATTCTAATTCTAGCTTGGACTGTGGACAGGGAGCTGGGGTGTGTAGGGAGCTTAGCATGGGGGATGGGTTGGGGCAGGCCTGGGAGTAGTGCTGCTAGGCTGCCTTCACAGTACCCTGCAGGCCCTCAGTTAGCCTCCTCACAGGGATGGACTGATCATTTGCATGGCAGGACCTGTCCCAACAGGACTAGGGATGACACAACTGTGAATGGCTATATCTCCTTGCCCTTCTTCTGTGGCAGACCCTAGGCTAAGGGCTTTTCTTGCCTCATTTCATTTTTACAACTCAATGGATTGAGCACCATGAACCTCTCCATTTTATTGACACAGTTTGGTTCCAGGACTTGCATGCAGCCAGGGAGTAGGCTCACTCCAAGACAGGTCCCTTTCACCCTTGGGCTGTACTGTCTAGAGCCAGCACAGTCCCCTGCCTCAATAACATAGGCATGAAGCAGGTGGGGCTCCCCAACAATTTTGAAAATACTATGAAAGATAACCATAGGGACACCAAGAACCCACCTGATCTAGGCCTGATGTCAGGAAAGGAGAAGGTGACATTGCAAGATAAGTAGGATTTAGGTGGAAGGATAGGGGTAGTGGGAGTGGAGCACTCTCAGCTAGAATGTCTAGGTGGGACAGTCGGGGGTGGGGGTAGGGATCATCTCATCCCCAGGGACCCTCACCAGCTCCATCAGCAGGGCAGAGCAGACACGGAGGTGGGCACCCTCCTCGGCACCAGATCTGCATCTCAACCTGCCCAGGCTCCTACCTCAGGAATAGGGCAGGAAGTCCCCATGGGTGTGGACGCGCCACGAGACGTTGTGAGCCTGCACCGCTGCGAAGTAGTCGGCCAGCGTGGCGTACTCCACGGAGATGCCGAGCTTGGGCGAGTTACTGTTGATGAAGTCCAGCAGCGGGTCCATGTTGGAGAACTGCAGTGACGCATTGAAGAACTGCTTGTCACAGCCCTGCAGGCCGGGCCACAGCGCGACCCCCGTGATTGTGGGGCTGAACCCAGTCCAGGAGGAGCGGCCCCCCTGGGCCATCCAGGGCCCTCCGCTCTGCCTGGGAGAGGCCCCACCAGCTCCCGAGTACATCCTTGTGCCCATCTCTCTCTCTCCTTCCTTCCTTCCTTCCTTCCTTCCTTCCTTCCTTCCTTCCTTCCTTCCTTCCTCCCCTCTTTCATCACATTTTACATCTCAAGTACTTGTCTATCTTATAACTGGATGTTTGTACCTTTTGAACACCATCACCCAATTCCCCCACCTCCCCACCCGCACACCTCTGGCAATTATAAATCTAATCCCTATTTTCATCAGTCTGGTTTTCTTAGATCCCACATATGTGTGAGAATACATAGGATGGGCATTTGTCTGTCTAACTTATTTCACTCCTGGGCTTTTCTTAACACATACCTATATTACTAATTTTCGACATCATTAATTTTAATGATATGATAATTATGAATGACAGTGATGCATGCAGCCACAACTCACATTTACTGACCTTGAACTCACTTTCAAAAAGATAAAGTCAGGGCACCCGGGTGGCTCAGTGGTTGAGCATCTGCCTTTGGCTCAGGTTGTGATCCCGGGGTCCTGGGATTGAGTCCTGCATTGGGCTCTCCACAGGGAGCCTGCTTCTCTCTCTGCCTATTTCTCTGCCTCTCTCTGTGTCTCTTATGAATAAATAAGTAAAATCTTAAAAAAAGAGAGATAAAGTCAAACACCATGGATAAATTCCTAATCTACCTACCAAGACTGAATCAAGAAAAAATAGAAATCTCAACAGACCAATTATTATGTGAATTCTACCATTTATAGAAGAATTAATACCTATCCTTCTCACACTCTTCCAAAGTTACAGAAAAATAGGGAACATTTCCAAACTCATATTCCAGAAATAACATTATCCTGTTACTAAAACCACATAAAGGAAAATTAGAGGCTGATGTCCCTGATGGACACAGATGCAACAATCCTCAACAGTTATTAGCAAACTGAAGTAAACAACCTGTCAGAAAGATCATATGCCATGATAGAGTAGGACTTATTTCAGGGAATCAAGGATGGTTTGACATCCACAAATGGACCAACAGGATGCATCACATTAATAAAATGAAGGATAAAACTTTTATGATGCTCTTCCAGATGCAGAAAGAGCAACTGACAATATTCAACAGCCATTTATGATAAAAACTCTCAAAAAGTGAGCATAGAGGGAACATGCCTCAATATAAGAAAGGCTGCTTATGACAACCCCAAATCTGGCACCATACTCCATGGTGGGGAGCTGCAAGGTTTTCCTCTGAGATTAGGAACTAGACAAGGATACCCATGTTGTCCACATTTACTCAACATTGCATTGGAAGGCCTCGCCAGAGCAAGTAGGCAAGGAAAAGAAGCAAAGGGCATCCATATGGGAAAGGAAGAAATAAATGTCACTATTTGAAGATGGCATGGTATATAAAAAACCTGAAAGACTCCACCGAGACATGCTTAGAACTAATGAACAAATTCAGTCAAGTGGCAGGATAAAAAATCAACATGCAAAAATCAGCTGCATTTCTGTATGCTAATAATCAACTATCGGATAGAGAAATTAAGAAAACAATCCCATGTATAATTGCATCCCAAGAATAAAATACCTAGGGAGAAGTTTAACCAAGGAGGTGAAAGACCTGTATGCTGAAAACTGTAAGACATTGATGAAAGAACCTGAAGAAGCCACAGATGATAGAAAGATATCTTGTACTCATGGATGGGAAGCTTTAATATTGTTAAAATGTCCATACCACCCAAAGCAATCGACATATTCAGTTAAATCCCTGTTAAAATTTAAATGGCATATTTCACAGAAATAGAACAATCTTCAAATTTGCATGGAACCACAAAAGATCCTGAAGGGCCAAAGCAATTTTGAGAAAGAAGAACAAAGCTGGAGGCATCACACTCTCTGATCGCAAACTACGTTGTAAAATCATGGTAATCAGTACCAAATGGTATCTGCATAAAGCCATACATAGAGATCAACAAAACAGAATAGAAAGCCCAGAAATAAACCCACGCATATATGGTCAGTTTATTTGAAATGGAGGAGCCAAGAGTATACACAGGGGAAAGGACAGTCTCTTCAATAAATGGCGTTGGGAAAGCTGGACAGCCACATGCAAAATTATGAAATGTATCATACATCACACACACTAACTCAAAATGGACTGAAGATTTTTTAAAAAGTTATTTATTTATTTATTCATGAGAAGCACAGAGAGAGAGGCAGAGACACAGGCAGAGGGAGAAGCAGGCTCCATGCAGGAAGCCTGACCCAGGACTTGATCCTAGGTCTCCAGGATCATGCCCTGGGCTGAAGGCAGGGCTAAACTGCTGAGCCATCCAGGCTGCCCTGGATTGAAGGTTTGAATATAACACCTAAAACCATAAAACTATTAGAAGAAAACAGAAGGGGAAAATTCCTTGACATCTGTCTAGTGATAATTTTTTTTTCAATTTTACACCAACAGTAAAACCAACAAAAGCAAAACTAAACATTAAAAATTAAAAAAAAGCTTCTGGGCAGCCCGAGTGGCTTAGCGGTTTAGCGCCAGCCCAGGGTGTGATCCTGGAGACCCGGGATGGAGTCCCACGTCAGGCTCTCTGTGTGTGTTTCTCTCATGAATAAATAAATAAAATCTTTTAAAAAATAAAAATAAAAATAAAAAAAGCTTCTGTGTAGCAAGAACACCACTGATAAGATGAAATGACAACCTAATGAATGAGAGAAAATATTTGAAATCATATTTGAAAATCAAATGCCTGATAAAGAATATCCATAACATCTAAGAATGCATACAACTCAATACCCAAAACCAAAAAAACCATTTAAAAACAGAACACCTGAATAGACATTGTTCCAAAGAAAACCTACAAATGGACAACAGTTGCATGACAAGATGCTCCATCCACATCACTCACCATTCAAATGCAAAGTAAATCCATAATGAGATATCACCTGACAGCCATCAGAATGGCTTCTGTCAGAACAACTAAAAAGAACAAGTGTTGGCAAAGGTGTGGGTGGGACTGTGCATTGGTGTAGCCACTACAGACAACAGTACAGAGGTCCCTCAAAAACTGAAAAATAGAACGACTTTATGACCCAGCAATCCGAGTCTTAGTATTTACCCAAGGGAACTGAGAACTCTAATTTGAAAAGATGTATGTACCCCCATGTTCATTTCCATGCTCCTCTATGTTCCCTTAAAAAATATTATTTATTTATTTATTCATGAGAGACACACACACACAGAGGCAGAGACACAAGCAGAGGGAGAAGCAGGCTCCCTGTGGGGACCTGATGCAGGACTTGATCCCAGGACTCTGAGATCACGACCTGAGCCAAAGGCAAACCCTAAACCACTGAGCCACCCTGGCACCTCTCCTCTTTGTTCTTTTACCCCATTATTCACAATAGCCAAGATTTGGACACAACCTGAGTGTCCATCTGTGGATGAGTGGATAAGGAAGATGTGGTGCATATGTGCAAGGCAATCATGCTCAGCAAAGAAAGGAGGAAATCTCAGTTTTGGGACAAGGCAGATGGAACTTGACAGCAGTATGCTCTGCGATAGAAGTCAGACAAGGACAGACAAATGCCATGTGATCTCACTTACAGGTGGAATTAGGGATGGGGAGTGGGTGAAATGGGTGAAGGAGTCAAAACGTACAAACTTCCAGTTTGAAGATAAGTAAGTTCTGGGGATGTAACATACAGCATGGTGACTAGTTAATTATACTGTATCATGTATTTGAAAGTTGCTAAAAGAATAGATCTTAAAGGCACCCATTCCAAGAAAAATACTTTATAACTGTGTATGTTGATGGATGTTAAGTAGACTTACTGTGGGGATCATTTTGCAACATAGACAAAAATGGAATCCTTATGTTGCATGCCTAAAACTAGTATACTGTGATATGTGAACTTTATCTCAATAAAAAAGAGAGAGAGTTGTAGCATTAAAACAAGACACCCCCCCACCCCAAACAGTCATGGTAACTCTAAATTGTCCTTGTTGAAAGTTTGCCATGGAGAGTAAGATAGGAAATGAAATTTTGTAGAACACATGTGAGTGATAGGGGTCTGGCTGGGAGGAGGTGAGGCCGGTAGTTGTTGACAGTAGTCGAAGCCTGAGCCTGGTGAAGTTGTTCACATGGGTCACCTGGGCGCCTCGAATTATGGCCCGCACAATAGCAGCACCCTGTCAGCTCCGATGGCTTTCCTGAAATTCTTGGCTCCCCAAATAGGTTGAGCCCAGCCCAGGCAGAGTGGCCCCTCTCAACCCCCATCAACAGCCCTCCCACTTTCTTGGAAAGAATGTGGTTGGGTGAGACTGGACAGGAATCCAGGGCTGTGGTCAGGACACTGAGGCCTGGGATCCTGCCTTACCCAGGGCCAGAGGAGGTGCGGTGTCCGGAACCAGGTGGCCCGCGCCTTCACATTGTCCACAAGGAGACTGACATAGTAATTGATATTGTTCCAAGTGATGGGTACAGACTTCGGGTGAAATACCCTGTCTGGCGGTGAGTTCGGGAAGACAGCAGTCCCGTCCCAGTTAAAGCCTTCCCTGCAGGGGAGAGAAGGGTTAGCAGAGCCCCGCCCTGAGAGGGGAGGCAGCTCGGGGTCCAGGAGGACAGGCAGGTGCAGCCAGGCTACAGGGCAGCTCAGGGTGTACAGACCGGCGCTCAGGCCTTCTTCTCACACCTGTGTGATGGGCAGGTCAGTGGTGGCCGACAAGAGCTCCTCTGACAGATGGGGCTCAAATCCACATGTCACAGTTCGCCAGCTGTGGGGCCTGGAACACGGCCCCTTTCCTGGGCCCACACTGCCTCCCCCGCCCCATGGAGCCCACAGTCTGCATTCCCACTGGGGATCTCACGGAGGCCACTGTGGTACCCTCAGACCTGAGTCCAAAGCCCAGAGCAGGGCTGGGGCAGGGTGAGGCTGTGATGCACAGTGCCCTGGGCTGCGAGTGTAAGGGGGAGCCCAGTCTCGGGAGGTGACATGGAGGTAAGTTGGTGTCATACTTCAAAACTCAGAATTAATGCGAAACAAATGGTGATGGACAGAATACCAACATTCCCCCCAAGCGCAAGGGCAGTATTCGGATTTTCCCTTTTGTCTCAGGCTCCAATTTGGTCTGTATGACACAGACCCCAAGATCGACCCTGAGGGTCCGGATGCTCCAGTTAGGGTCCCTCCTGCCTCATTCCAGGCAGCATGGAGTGACATAGGGGTGACCCGGGCCAGCATCCAGGAGTGGCCACTTGGATCCTCAGAGCTTCAGGTCTCCTCACCCATTAATGTCCTGATGGTTGTTAGAATCAATAAAGGACATCAGTGGAAAACCCTGGAGACCTTGCCTGGTGCACATCATGGGCTAGAGAAGAGGTCCTGAAGTCCTTCACCTTGCCCAATAATCTCTCCTTTTCCAGGATAGGGGAGCTCAATTCTCTATGGCATCAAGGTCGAAAGGGCCAGAGTGAGTTGGACCTAGGGCCTCTCGACCCAAGAGCCCACAGCCTGGCTGTACCCATGCTGTAGAGGCCTGGAAATAGTCTGTCCAAACCAACCTGACCCTGCCACTGCGGGCCCTAGGACCCTGGCTGAGTGACCCTGCCTCAGTTTCTCTTTGTGTAAGCCAGAGTGTCCCAAGAGGATGCACGGGAGAGTGGGTCGTTTCTCAGGTAACAGAGGGAGAGTGCTTTGAACTGGGCTCCCCAGGAAGGTGCTCACGAGCAGTAGTTGTACTGGTCCAAGACATGCGTGAAGATTTCCTGCTGAGCTGACAGGGATGGGGACCCTCGCCACACAAACTGCAGCCCCTGCAAACCCAGAGGGAACAGAGTGACAGCCCAGGGGCAACACGGAAGCCCTGGTTCTGCCTCCCCCAGCCCCACTTGGGTCTCCCTCAGTGGTTCCAGGGGCCAACCCCTCTGCTGCCTCCTCTAGATTCCCTCTGACCCCCCCCCCCAAGGCCATCCATGTTTGTGGAAATTGCCCTCTAGTCGGAGCCAGCCTGCTTGCTCACTGCCCCCCACCCCTGCCGCCTGCCCCGGGGAAGGACCCTCTCTACCAAGGCCTGCCAGCGAAGCTCGTTCTGGCTCTGCTTGACGACCTCCTGGCACAGGAGCCGCTCACCTCTCACTAATCCTTTGGTCTGTTCTTCATTGCTCTCACGACTGGGACCCGCTCAGGGTTACAAAGCAGGGGGAAATCCTGGTTCTATTAAGCACTGGCTCTGGGACGATGCACATGTTCCCTGAGTCCCCCGGGACTCGGTTTCTGCATGGGAGGAATGGGGAGGGCCCCACGCAGCTCACAGAGTCAGCAGCGGCAGAAATGAGCTGACATGGGAAGTGAACTCTGCGCACAGCGTGGCATGAGGTGGGGCTCAGGACCATGTTCTCCTCTTGCCCAGCTAGAGCCCACCTGCACCCTTGTCTACCGCTGCGGGCCGCAGCTAGCATTTGTCCCAGAGCGTTATTACCCGAGTAACCCCGGACACGATACTCGCTACAGCAGGGGCTTGGTAACGTGCCCTGCACACAGAGGGAAGGATCAGGGGCGAGAGGCAGCAGCGGATGTGGCTCACGGCTCACCTGTGAGTTCTGCATGGTGTCCTTTAGGGCATAGTCGATGCGAGAGATGACGTGGGCATGGAAGCTCGCCAGGGCAAATAGGGTGGGGGTTGTGGCAGATGCACCAAAGGAGTCGATTTGCCAGGAGAACCTCGGCCAGATCCCAAAGGTTTCGTACAAGAAGCCGTGTCCTTCTGCAAAGAGAGCCCTGCCTTGCTGGTGACAGGAGGGTGGTCCCTCCCCACCTGCTCACTCAGGGCCCCTGCCTTTCCAGGGGGCTGGAGTGCCATCCTGGGGTGTGCTGCAAGAGGGCCTAATCCAGAGGGTGCCACAGCAGGATCACCTGATGTTCCATGTACTCATTCACGACTGTAGAGCCACCCCATGAGTCTGATGTCAGGTTGAGTGCTGCAGGGGAAAGAAATTCCAGACTAGTGCCAGACATTTATTTTTGTTCCCCAGGTCTCCCACCTATGGGGCTATGTCAGCAAACCCAGGGCCTGGGCTCCAGTCTGCATTTGAAGGAGAGAAACCAGGCCTCCTGGAGTAAGAGAATGTCATGCTGCCTCTCACTACTCACTCCCAGGCTTGGGGATGCTGGCTCTGGCCCACAGGACCCCAGGTTGTGGGAAAGAGTTGTGATCAGACCAGAGGTCAGGCTTAGTCAGGAGGGGTGCCTGCTGGCAGGTGTGGGTGGCTAGGAAGTTCTGGTTGATTCACGCAGGAGGGTATGAGGACTAGCCAGGGGGCATAGACCTGGTGTGGAGGTACTGGTGGCCTGGGTCAGCAGGGGAAGGAGGCAGAGGGTGGGTGTGTAGGAAGCAGAGGAGACCAGGAAGGAACAGCAGTGGGAAGGAAGACCTGGGGATTGTGGGGCCTGGGATTATGAGGGAATGGTCAATAGCATCACCGCATTGAGGGCAGGCAGCTTGAGGAACAGCCCTCTCCACAGACAGGGAGCCAGAGCAGGCCAGGCCTGACGATGCTTGTCCAGTGGCCCCTTTCCGTCCACTCACAGAATCCTTATTTTGTTCAGGGGGTGCCATCTGCACCCCAAGGGATGGATTGTCATGGACTCAGCTGCTCAATACAAGCTTATTCCCTTCTGCCAGATACTTGCATTCTCAGCCTGTCTGGAATCTCGAGGTGGGCATGGACCACGGGTGGAGCCAAAACGATGGGCGTGTTAAGCCTGGTCTGCTTTTGGGAAAGATTTCCCACCTGCATTAAAAAGAGGGAGTCAGGACGAAGACCCTTCGTCTCTTTTCTTGCCTTGAGTGGGGATATATGGCAATGTGATGCCTGGAGCTGTGGCCACCCTTTGGGACCTGGAGGGGAGGCGCAGGAGACTCAGGGAAACATGAAGCAGCTGCCCAGACTCCAAACCGATCCCAGCTAGTGTAGTAAATGGGACGTGCTTAGGTCAAGACATGTCAAGTCGCTGCTGCTCAGGGTCCCGGGCCCTCCAGCACAAGCATCCTGACTCCAACGAAGTGGAGATTAGTGAACAAAAGTGCTAACTGTTCATGGCACGGTGTTCCGTTTCTAGGAGTATCAGGCGCAGCCGCCCCTGAGCCTCGGCAGGTGTAGAGCCGCTCGGCTCGGCCCCGCCGCCCACGGCCCCGCCCCCCGCGGCCCCGCCCCCCGCGGCCCCGCCGCCCACGGCCCCGCCCCCCGCGGCCCCGCCCCCCGCGGCCCCGCCGCCCACGGCCCCGCCCCCCGCGGCCCCGCCGCCCACGGCCCCGCCGCCCACGGCACGCGCCTCCCCGCTGCCCATCGCGCCGTGAACCCAGTAATGGACTGATTCCTCCGCACCCCTAGAGGGCCGCCTTGGTCACACGATCACATCCTGGCCAATGAGAGAGGAGCAGGAGCTTTGGACTACATCCCCCAGCATGCACTGCAGCAGAGGTAACCGCAGGGGTAGGGGCTCCGAGGAGGGGGTGCTGGGGCGGGAAAACCCGGGTTTCTTCAGAGGTGTCTTTCGCTCCGGTCGGGCCTTCGCCTCCCTCTGCTGCTGCAGGTGGCATCGCAGCCCGGAGGCCCTGGCCGGGCTCTCTCGCACCAGTGACTGCCTGGGGGTGGAGCTCTCCCTGGGCGCCTGCGCCTGCGCCTGGTCCCGCCCGCCCGGGTGAGGATCCCAGCTGCGGAGCTGCGGAGCTGCGGAGCTGCGGAGCTGCGGAGCTGCGGAGCTGCGGAGCTGCGGAGCTGCGGAGCTGCGGAGCTGCGGAGCTGCGGAGCTGCGGAGCAGGCCACTCAGCGGTGGGGGTGAGGGCTGCCATCCCCGGGGCTGTGGCCACACTCAGCATTTCCTGGTCGCCCAGGTGCTGCGGGCAGGTGCCACTCCCCGCAGAGAGATGTCAGGTCCAGAGTAAGGTGGTGTGGGAGGCAGCCAGAGGCAGGAGGTCGGGAGGGCGGGTGGGTGACGCTCAGGCCCTGCGGGCACGAGAGGGGGCCTGTCGTGGCCAAGAGGTGCCTCAAAGCAAGGGGCAGGGGCAATGATTGTAGCCGTCAAAGTCCCAGAGGGGGGATGGTCATGGCAGGGGCGGTGGCGTGGTTTCGTGGAGTGTGGATGGGGCTGTGCGGCCACAGAGCTGGTGGTGAAGTGATGATAGTGATATCGTCAGGGGAACACGTGGGATCAGGGGGTTTTCGCTGTCGGTGTGAACGGTGCTGGCGTGGTGATGCAGGTAGTGGCAGTGGAGCTGGTGATGTGATGGAGGTACTCAGGGTGTGGTGGCAGTGCTTGTAGAGAAGGCTTGAAGGAGGCCGTGCTGGAGCTGTGGCCCTGTATGTACGGGTGGGGAAGGCAGCAATGGCATCTAACCTCACTACTCATTTTCTGGGAACCACAGGCTCCACTCCCAGTGCTCTAATGAATTGTCCGAATTTGATCCTCACAACTACTCTGGGGCGTAGGCAGTGCCATCACACTCATTTAAGTCATGAGGAAACAGAGGCCAGGGAGGTGACGTCCCTTGCCTGGGTCACAGGGTTGGGAATGGGCAGAGGCAGGACAGCGCCAGGCCATGTGGTCTCCAGTCCACGTCCACACCCCTGCACTCAGCAGCACTGGCAGGATGACGCCACTCGCCAATGCCTGTTTCTACTGGCCTCAGGGTCCTGCTCAGAGGCGAAGTCGGGGCTCAGACCTGGGCTCAGAAACCCAGTCCCAGTCTGATTGGAGGCCCCAGGAGACCCGGGGGATGGGGAAGGAGGACCTCACCTGTGAGCTGTAGGATCTGGTCATCAAAGTGGGCCACGGTCTCATCATGCATGACCTGGCCCCCGATGACAAACTCCAGGCGTCTTGTGGTCAGGAGATGGCGGACCTTGGTGACAAGCAGAGAGAATGAAGCCGGGATAGAACCCCACAGTAGGGCTGGGTCTGTGGGGACATGCCTCCAGCGTCTCATGGTGTCCTCCATCAAAGCCCTCCCGTGCCTTCATTCTGCAAGAGCGGCAGGTCAGCACTGCCTCCCACCCCCCGCGCCAGCACCTGGCCCTTGGCTGTACTTGATCTCTGTTGTGTCCACCTCTGTCTCTACTTCTGTCTCTACATCCATGTCTACCTTTTTCTCTACCTCTGTTTCTACCTCCTTGTCTATCTTTTCCTGTGTCTCCATGTCTGTATCTACATCTGTTACCTTTTCGCTGTGGAAATAATTTGAAATTTCTGAAAGACTTGCAAGAAGTGTGCAAGTGGCTCCCGGGTAATCTGAGCCCTTCCGCAGATTGTTCACTGTGAACCTTCTTCACCTGTTTGCCGTAGCGCTCCCCCATCTCCTTGTAACCTGGGAGGGTTTTCTCCAAACCATTTGAAATTACCAGTGAGACATAGCAGCCTTCCGCCCAGGTCCTTCACTGTGCTTGTCAGGAGAGGGTGCTTATAACCATAGTGTAACATAGTGTAAGGCTCCACATAGGGCATTTGACACGGATGCAACAGTGTCGCTAATCCAGTGTGAGAAGCAGAGCCGGCGCCCATGATTGCGAGGCTCCTCCTCGGGATTCCACAGGCTGCAGGGTGAAGAGCCCCCAGTTTGATTGGGGGGACTGACTCTCTGCTTTGCCTTCTCAGCTTTACTACCCTGGGCACGTCTCTAGCCTCCCTGACGTTCACGATCGGTGACTGCTCTGAAGGAAGGTGAATGGCAGGGAGGGGACCAGGTCCACAGCGTCCTCCCAGGTGTTCCCGTCCTGCATCATCTGGCCTGTCCACTCCGAGGAGGGGGAGGTCACTCCCATTTGCGCAGGCGGGCCCCCCAGCTCACAGCGTGCACCCCTGCCTCAGGCGGAGCTGGGTCCCAGGCTGCCTCCCTGTGGGGTGAGGCCTCTGTGATGCCTCCTGCAGCCTGTGATGCCTCCTGCAGCCCACTAACTCAGGGACTGTGGCAGCTGGGAGGGCAGCCAGCTGCGTGCCCGTGGGGCCAGGGGTCGGTGGGGTCGGTGATGCAGGAGGTGGGGTTAGGGCCCCTCCGGAGTGCTGAGGTCAGAAGTGACCCCATTCAGCACCAGCTGAGTGCCCGGTTGGCTTGCCAGGCTGACACTTTACACCTATCACCACGAGGCTGATTAAAACCCAACCTGTCTATTGTGGACATTGCGGCTATAAACATCGGGGTGCAGGTGTCCACAATAGCCAGACTGTGGAAGGAGCCTCGGTGTCCATTGAAAGATGAATGGATAAAGAAGATGTGGTCTATGTGTACAGTGGAATATTCCTCAGCCATTAGAAACGACAAATACCCCCTATTTGCTTCGACGTGGATGGAACTGGAGGGTATTATGCTGAGTGAAGTAAGTCAATCGGAGAAGGACAAACATTATATGGTCTCATTCACTTGGGGAATATAAAAAATAGTGACAGGGAATAAAGGGGAAAGGAGAAAAAATGTGTGGGAAATATCAGAAAGGGAGACAGAACATAAAGACTCCTAACTCTGGGAAACGAACTAGGGGTGGGGGAAGGGGAGGTGGGTGGGGGGTGGGGTGATGGGTGACGGGCACTGAGGGGGGCTCTTGACGGGATGAGCACTGGGTGTTATTCTATATGTTGGCAAATTGAACACCAATAAAAAATACATTTATAAAAAACAAAACAAAACGAAAGAAAACAGGGGATCCCTGGGTGGCGCAGCGATTTAGCACCTGCCTTTGGCCCAGGGCGCAATCCTGGAGACCTGGGATCGAATCCCACGTCGGGCTCCTGGTGCATGGAGCCTGCTTCTCCCTCTGCCTATGTCTCTGCCTCTCTCTCTTTCTCTGTGTGTGACTATCATAAATAATTAAAAATAATAAAAAAAAGAAAACAAAAAACCCCCAACCTGTCCTGGGGGCGGGGTCTGAGCACAAATCTGAGGTAACAAGCCTGGGAACCGCCCAGTGTGTCTGGGCCTGAGCTTCAAGCCACACACCCCCTGGCACCCTGGGTGCCTGCCCGGGCTCCCCACCACCCCCAGGAGGCCCCTGCAGGCGGGGGTCCTGGCGTTTCTGCCTGTAGGAGGCGATGCCATCCCACCACAGCCGGAAGTACTCCTGCTCCACGGCGATGAACCTGCGCTGCTTCTGGAGCATCAGCTGCTCCACCACCGTGGTATAGACGTTGGCAGCATAGGCCCGCAGGCTCTCCTGGGGAGGGGGCCGCCGTCACACCAGCCCTTGGGGAGGCTCCTGGACTCTTGGCCCCAAGGCTCCAGGAGCAAACTCTAGAGTGACATCGTGTCCCTGGGCCCCGCCACCCCCTGGAGGCATCCGCCCAGGGCTCTTCCTCTGCTTCTTCCTCTGCTGCTCACGTGGAGGACCCCGGGTACCCTGTAGGTGCTGGACACCCAGTGCCTGCTGGGCCTGAGAGGGCCTCATGACCCTCCCACCTCTGCTGAGATCCTGCTGTTCTCGGGACAGAGATGACGTTCCAGACCATGACACATGACGTGGGCAGGAGGATGTGCCAGCCTGAACCAGGGATCAGGGACGGCTTCCCGAGGAGGCATGGTGCAGGCCCTCAGGGTGTTGAGGGAGGCAGCTCAGTGCAGCCATGGGGTGACAGGGGAGGGGGTCCAGGGTGCCCTCGGAGCCTGCCTGGGCTGAGATGAGGGGAGCCGGTGTTGAGACCAGAAGCTGAAAGGAGCTGCCCCCGGCCCCCTGGCTGGTCCTGGGCACCTGCCTGCCCACCTCCCCCCCCTGGCTGGCGGCCCCCAGGATGCAGCCGCACCTGTTTCTCATAGCTGTCTCCAGGCTGGCACACGGCGGTGCCCAGACCTGCTCCTTGAAAGGAGTGAATGAGCCTGGGCTGAGGGGCTTCAGGAGTGGGTGGGGGGCATGTCATTCCTGGTGCCCTCAGGCAAGTCACCAACCCTCTCTGGGCCTCAGTTTCCTCCTCTGTAACTGAGGGGTGCAAGCTCGTTCCCCCCTTAAGCCATCTCCACAGGCAGGCAAGTGTCCCCCAGAGGCTGCCCAGTGAGTCCAGGACCAGACTCCCCCACTGCCCAGAGTCACATCCTCCTGCTGCTTCTCTCTCCTGATGAGTCCAGCTGCCCACTTAGCAATGACCTCAGAAAGTTACCGAATCCCTAATCCCAGAGACTGTTTGTTCTCTACTGGGTTTCCTGCCTCTTCCCACAAAGGAGCTGGAGGCGGCCTGGGTGACAATATCAAGTCACCAGCCCAGTATCCTGGACAAATCTGAGGCCTCAGCCCCCACCCCCTGGACTCCATTCCTTCCGGCAGCTGCTGTTGGGCCCACTGCTTCCCATCCTCATGACCCGTTCGTTCCCTCTGCCGTGTTCTGGCTGCTGTGGTTCATCCAGCTGCAGTGAGCCAGATTCCTCCTTCCACCAGCGCTGCCTGGCCACATTCTCCAAGCACCTCCAGCCTTTCCTGCCTCAGGCCCTTTGTCCATGCTGTTCCCTGCCTGGGAAGCACCTCTTTCCCTCTCTGTCTTGCTGAAAGGCTCTCAGAGACCCCTTTTGGCCTCCCACCCTTGCGTCATAGCATTCACTCTGTTAGACCCTATTATGTGTTTGTGGTTCACATCGTCCTCACCCACAGCTCGGCCCGCCATGAGGCTTTGTAGGGCTGCTGCAGGATTCAAACCTGAATAAGGAGGAGCTCTGCCTTTCTCCCTGAAGTGCATGTGAAGGTGATTGTATGACATGGTCGTGACCCCTATTCCCTGGAGGACCTGGGTGGTCTCCAGTGTGCAAGGTATGAAGTTCAGTCCAGTACACCTCCCAACCCCACCTGTCACCTCATAGAATCAATTCACTCCACCTTGATCAGGGCATGGGCACAACCCCTGCTGCCTAACAGCCTCAGGGTTCTGACCTGTGAAATGGAGATGTTTTGGTCTATTGGAGGTTTTGTTAAGTCATCTGGAAAGTAAAGTGACCATCTGTGTCTGAGTCAACACGTGTACTCACTAACAAACAGCAGGTCTCCCCTCTCTGGGCTCTGGGGCTGGCTGCTCCTTGGACATATTATTAGATTTTTATCCCTTAATAAACCCTTTTCTGCTTCTGTGCCAGGCTCTGGGTTGGGAGGCCAGAGAACAGGAGATGTGCTGCTTCAGGATGCCCTTGCAGTGGAAGTCAGGCCTTGGCCTTGGTGGGTGCTGCCCACGGGGGAGCTGCTCCAGTTATTTGAGGGCTCCTGGAAATCGCAGAGGCTTACCTGGACAAGGGGGTGAAGGAACTGTGTGCCTCCAAGTCCAGGAAGGAAGATGGAAGGGTCACGGGCTACGGGGCAGAAAAACAGAGTGATCCAGGGAGCTGGGTGGGGTGGCCAAGAGGCCCGGGTGCTGAGGAGTTGGCTGGTTGTCCACCTAGACCTACTTTGCGGGCTATAAGTAGGATGGAGAGAGCCCAGTCAGGTATTGGTGCCATCACCCCGCAGTGTGGCCTCTGCTGGGCTTAGAAACGGTTGTTCTGAAGCCCATGGTCTTGGGTAGGGGGGGTCACAAGGGAGCCCTCACACTGGGTGGGGATGTGCTGTGCTGTGGTCTGTGCCGACCTCTCTGAGCCTCAGGGGACAGACATGGAGAGCCCACCTCTCTGTGGGGCCAGAGCTGGTGGCGATCCATGCAGGTGGCTCCATCCCGGCCTCTTCCCATCCCTCTGAGTCAGGTCCCCGCCAGTGACAGCCCCATGAACAGCGCTGCCCCTGAGGGCCTGGCTGAGGGGGCCATGTCCCCCTCCCCTACAGGCCTCTCGAGGAGGGCTGGCTCCTGAGCTGCTGAGCAGGGGGCCTCGGCCTCCCTGCTGTTGAGCCTCCACTGGGGCTCTGTATGGGAGGAGCAGGGGTGGCAAGTGGGCTGGACTGGCCCACCCAGACCCCTCCCCTGCCTAGCCTGTGTCCTGAGGCGAATCACTCACCGCCTCAGGACCTCACTTCTCCTCTGCACTGCAGGGCAGCGTTGCCTGCAGGTGGGGAGTGGCCATGATGGGAGCTTCTGCACTCTCCTATCTTCCTTTCTCTCGGGTGGCCTCCAAGGCAGGCGACCCGAAGTACGGAGGACACAATGGACACAGCCTGTGCAGAGGGGTGGCCTACATCACCTGATGTGACAGCCGAGCCATGGTGCCCTGCGTGTCCAAGGGCTTTCAAACACCATCCCACTGAGTCCTCACCACGGCCTGCTGCCCCTGCGCCCTGGCTCCCATTGCACGGAGCAGGAACAGAGGCCCAGGGAGGGGAAGCAGCTTGCCCAAGGCCACCTGGCCCGCAGGGGCAGAGCTCCCAAGTCCCTGCTTTTCTTAGGGTCGGGTCTCCTTGGCCCGTGTTTGCTGTCATAAGAGACTGGCCAGCAAGCAGAGGCGAGAAGCTGTGGCTGGGACTGAGGTTCCGCATAGCCACAGGCAGGCTCCTGGGGCTGCTCTCTGAGCTGATGGGCTGCGCTGGCTGTGTCCCCAGCCTCATCGTCCCCCACCTGCTCCCCACCATGCCTGGCCACACGGAAGGCCCTCGTGGCATTGCTCATCTACTTCCTGAGGCCTAAGGGTCTCCCTCCCACCTGGGAGATCTTTCTCACCTACCCTGTCTCAGGTGCCCTCGCCTCTAGAAATCTTCCTCAGCCCTTCCTTTGGGGGCAGGGTCCACACGCTTCCCGTCTGCAGGACCAGGACTCTTCCTGTTGGTGATGATGGTAACTTTAGCTGTGCAGTCGTGGACAGAACTCCCCTAGCCAAGTGCAGGCGTGAGCAAGGGTTATGCGTGGGTGAATGGCTGGCTCCTCGTCCTCCTCGGCTCGCCATGGGGTGGGCAGCCGGTCCCGAGAGCCTTGTCTTCCTCCCTCTGAGCCTCCCTAGTTTCTGCTCCTGGCGGGGCTGGGGTCCTGCATGGTCGTCGCCCTGGGAGGGTTGGAGCAAAAGGTCCAAGTCCCCTCCTGCTTTCTGCCAACCCAGGATCAGCTACATCATTCGTGGGGCCTGGTGTAAAACGAGGAGCTATGGCTTCAACTGCAGGTGAACGGGTGCTTGAAATCACTCAGTGAAACACTTTTGCTTTTCTTCTGGGCCCTCGTGCAAACGTCCTCATGTTCCCACATCTTGCTGTTTCCATTTGCTATTCAGTGTTGTGTCGCATGGCTACAGGGATACTGGTGGTTGGGTGCAGAGTCTCACTGTCCTGGAGGTGTCTGGTCCCTTCTGCCAGCTGACAAGCTGATGTGCCCTGGCCGCCCAGGAGATGTCACCGGCCACCTCCCCTTCCCGCGGGCACACTGCCCCACCACACGAAGGACAGGCCACACGCCGTCCTTGGTGGGCATCTTGCCAATGCTGCTGGGTGCCTGTACCTCCTGGCAGAGCTGCCTGCTGGGGGTGAGACACCCTGGGACGCAGGCGTCTCACCTATCCCCCCCCCCCCCCAGCTTCCATCTCATTTTGGGCCTGCCAGGGACACTGGAGCAAAGGACAGAGAAGAGCAGGGAGGGTGGGGTCCTGGGTCCCGGGGGGGGGGGCGGGTAAGCCAGTAGCCGAGGACCTGTGCTGAGACCACGCTTGAGCCGAGGTTCCAAGCCCCCGTGCATGCTCAGTTCCATTGGATTTGCTGGCAAAACAAATGCAACCCTAAATGATGAGGAATTTCTTGCCTGTGATCACAGAGAAGGAAACTCCCAGCACGGGCCCGTTCTGAGCACAGGGCCCTGTGGTCGCACACCCTCGAACCTGGTAGTGCTCCAGCCCCTGGTGGTGATTGCTGGTGAGGGGGCTGCAGCATCTGATGCTAGCAACTGCTGCCGAGGAGCAGATGGTAGGGTGGGCGCTCCACGAGGATTTTCCCTGTGTGAACTGCTTTCATCCCCACAACATCCTACAAAAGAGACGCTCTTGCTGCTCCATCTTCCTGAGGCTCAAAGAGGTAAAGTGACCTGCCTAAGGTCTAACAGCCAGTATGCAGCAGCTGCCCTTCAGTCTGCTCCAGGTGCAAAGCCACGCCCTGTAAGTGGTGCTTTCCTACAGCAAGAACAGAGACCACAAACCGGGGGTGACTGTGTTGTGCTGTCACCTTCATGCCACAGGCCCGGGTTGGAGAACCAGGGTGGAGTCAGGAGTGGCCCCTCTTGTTCACAGAGGCTGGGGTATCCTGTTCCTGTCTTACGCACTGGGGTGCTTTGCAGGATGAAAAAGGTGCTAGCAATGACACGGGGCAATCTAAGACATCTGATCTTGGCGTCAGTTTGCTAGAGCAGCCTTGACAGAGGACCTCACCCTGGGCAGCTTCAACAACAGGGAACAGTTGTCTCACACTTCTGGGGTCAGAAGTCCAAGATCAAGAGGTCTGCAGGCTTGGATCTGTCGGAGGCTGTGAGCAGAATCTGTTGTGGGCCTCTCCCAGCTTCTGGGGGTTCTCTGGTGACCTTTGGTGTAGCAGGGCTCGTTGGTGTACACGTGGCAGTCTCCCTGTGTACATTTCTGGGTCCCAGCTGCTGGATTGCCTGCTAGAGAAGGGGCACTGTGGGATGGGGAACAGATCCTGATTACCTAAGAGAAGTTGGGTGGCTGCTTCAAACTGGAATCCAGCGGAGTCACATGTAATAACGAGATTATTGAAAATGGCACCCAACCTGCCTAGATAAGACCTTGAACGACTTGATCCCTCATCAGTCATGATTTGGGGCATTCCATAGGACATTCCCCTGGAAACTATGGTTTGTGAAATAAGCCTGGTACTCACAGCAGCAGTCACGTGAGAACTGCAAGGGCAGGTTTAGTAACAGCCACCACACCCAGTGTGGGGCCGATTGTGTGCTGTGAGAGTAGATCACCCCTAAAGCTAATACGTTAGCTCCAATTAGACCACAGTGCAATGAGCTGCCTCCTTGGTTATCCTGTGAGAGACCAGGATGGAGGCCAGAGAGAAAGGTTACTTGACCAACAGGTGGTAGAGCCACACCTGAGCCCAGGGCTCTTGGCTCCAGACCTGGTGGTCTGTCCACATAGCGGGAAGGAGGCAGGTATTAGAGTTCTCCTTTTGCAGATTTGGGAGCCAAGCATTTTACCCAGGATGACAGGGTCTGTGAGGGGCAGGAAGGGGCCCTGATGTCCTGGGTGCCACAGTGACCAGCAAATCCTCTGGAGATCATCACACACAGGGACAGTGACACAGCACTTGTGATAGCCCTGGTCCATTCCACACGCTCATCTGCATGCTTCACATGCTAACTCATGTTCACCCCCTCCAAGGTCCTCTTAGGCAAGTGTGCTGACTACCCCATTGTACAGAAAGATTCCGCGTTGGTCCAACAACCCATAGCTGTGAAGAGCAGAGTGTTCTATCATGTAAACGTGGAAGTAGAGTTGCTCTCCACCACCATGTACTCACCAAGGTGTGTGTCAGGTGTCACAGGTTCATGCTGCTGAAGCAGGCCTGGGGGAGTCAGTGTAGCAAGGGCTGTATTTAATGAGCATCTGTGTTCATCATGCACTTCCTTATCCATTCATTTGTTCACTCATTCATGTGAGAGCGGTATCAGTTCAGGCCATGCACTGTCCCACGCCCTGGGGAAATTGTAGTGAGCAACGCGACAGGGCCCCTGCTCTCAAGAGAGGTAAGAAGAGTTGACTGATAAGATGCTTCCCTTTTAAAAAATTTTATTATTTTATTTAAATTCAGTTTGCCAACATATAGTGTAACACCTGGTGCTCATCCCATCATGTGCTCTCCTTAATGCCTGTCACCCAGTTACCCCACCCTCCTACCCACCTCCCCTTCTGCAACCCTTTGTTTGTTTCGCAGAGTTAGGAGTCTCTCATGGTTTGTCTTCCTCTCTATTTTTTCCCCATTCAGTTACCACTCCTTCCCTTATGGTCCCTTGCTCTATTTCTTATATTCCACATATGACTAAAACCATATAATGATTGTCCTTCTCTGATTGACTTATTTCACTCAGCATAATACTCTCTAGTTCCACCCACTTCAGGGTAAATAGTAGGTATTCATCCTTTCTGATGGCTGAGTAATATTCCATTTTCTATATACACCACATATCCTTCATCCGTTCATCTGTGAAAGGACATTGAGGCTCCTCCCACAGTTTGGCTATTGTGGACATTGCTGCTGTGAACACTGGGGTGCAGGTGTCCCATTGTTTCACTACTTTTGTATCTTTGGGGTAAATACCCAGTAGTGCAATTGCTGGGTCATAGGGTAGCTCTATCATTCACTTCTCGAGGAACTTCCACACTGTTTTTCAGAGTGGTCGCACCAGCTTGTGTTCCCACCAAAAATGTAAGAAGGTTTCCCCTTTTCCACATTGTTGCCAATATTTGTTGTTTCCTGTCTTGCTCATTTTAGCCATTCTCATTGGTGTGAGGTGGTATCTCATGGTGGTTTTGATTTGCTTTTCCCTGATGCCCAGTGATATGGAGCATTTTTTCATGTGCTTATTGGCTATGTGTAGGTCTTCACTGGAGAAATGTATGTTCATATTTTCTGCCCATTTCTTGACTGGATTGTTTGTTGTTTGGGTGTTGAGTTTGATAAGTTCTTTATATAAATCAGATGGTTTCCAATGGTGTCAAATATAAGAACAGTATAAAATGAGGAGGAGGATCCAGGGACAGGCAGCTCCAGATGGAGGGTGGTCATCCAAGGCCTCTCGGAGGAGGTGACCTTTTAGCTAGGATCTCAATATTAAGAAGGATGCAAGGAAGGGAGTCCCAGGCAGAGGTCACAGCAGGTGTAAGCCTGGGAGTGAAATGAGCTTGGCATAGTCTGGAGCAGTGAGGAGGTCAGTGTGGCTGGAGCAGAGAGCGAGGGGTGAGGGCAGGGATTTAGCT